TTTGCTAATATTTTAACTTGCCTCCTGCTACTTTAAGTGTCAATTGGTCGATGAAATTCACAAGTTATATGTTGATTATGACAAAGGTTTAACATGAACACCTTCAAGTTGTTGAGACTCCTTAAATTTTAAACAACCAAAATAGTATTTCTAGTCTAATGCAGCGTATTCCGATGCTGTTTTATGTCCAAAACAACGTAACAGATGTTTCTCCCCTCAGAGTATATTTACTACTTTAGTGAAATGATCTTTTGACAAGGCAGACATTTGAAATCTCTTGAAGCTGAAAAGCTTGCTCTCTTCAAAATGAGTTTAGATCTCTAAGATTTTTTGCAGCTGCAACGGAGCTCTAACTAAATATCTCCTTGCTGTCATAACTTTAACGTCGACATCTTTAGGTGGTGTCTGAGCTACTTGATTGTATTTCAGATGGACCCGGTCAGCAGGTCAGCGTGCGTGTAGAGTAACTTGTTTGTTGTGCTGCAGGACGAGCTGGAGGCTCTGGAGAGCTCGCTGCAGCTGGAGCAGAGCAGCCTGAGGGAGCAGAAGCAGCAGCAGGAGCGGATGGCGAACACAGTCACGGGGCAGATGTACCTGGAGAGCCAGGTGAACGGGACGAGCCGTGTCATCAGACCCGGTCTGACGGGGAGCAAACCTTCCTTAAGCAGTCTGACTTGCATGTATGTATTTAAATTTTCTATGATGGGGGCTTGACAGCTGATGATTCACAGCAGGTGCAGGAGGTCAGTGAGGGAGGGGGCGGGCGCGCATTTCCCTGTGCTGCATTTGCCAAAACACACAGCTCGACTTGCATTCGTTGCTGTGATTTTTATTTGCAGTATGTTCAGTTTACACAGCAGCATGCTCATGTCTGTGTTTGTGATCAGAATTTGCCTGTACTAACTGTATCATAAAGTCAGCACTGGTGTATACCTGTCAGAGTGGAGGATCTTCATTAATCCCTTCAGCTGTTTTGATAATGAGCTGCTAAGAGCAAAGGGATTCCTCACATGACAACAAAAACATGGAGACGCTCCCTAGAGAAACACATTGCTGTAATCATAAAAGCACACACTCTGAGAGTTATGGTAAATAACAACAGCGACATTAAGCTAGCAGATAAACAGTTAAGTAGAAACTAAATGTGTTAAAATTATGGCGTCATCCTGCAGTACCTTCAAGAGCCACAAGTGTTGCAGTACAGTAGATAAAAAAAAATCCTGCAATAACTGTTGTATATATTTATTTAAATAACTGTAGAAATGCATACATTGAATAAATATCAAATGCTTCTGTAGTTATTTAAATTGTATTTACATTTTAAGCTTAATGTTTAAATATAACTGGGAAAAGCTACATAAAATATTTATTTTTATCATTATCATCAATTTTTTTATTGGTCAGCCTCACCCATCAAAGTTAGAGGGGCGGGGCTAAAGTGGCTGACCTATGGGTTGTTTAATTGGCTAAGGGGTTAATCAGTTAGATGCTGTGGTGCATTTAATGAGTTATAGTAACAGTTTATTATTATTATCATTACCATACAATTGACTGCAGCACAGATGATTTAAAAATAATTAAATTCTGGAATAACTGTATAGGATTTTAAAAGACAATGACTAAATTACTTTGCATTTAACTTAATAGAGGTTATACCTACATCATAAATTAGTTCCATGTATTTATTATAGTTTCTATGTAAAAAAAAAAATTAACAAAATCATTTATTTTGGATTATGGCACGTTTGTCTCCCAGTTTCTTTGATGAGCAACTATAAACCCTGAAGCATTTGTCAGTCTGTGTGGTTTTACGTTTTCATCCTTTGTTTTGCTTTGTAAATTGACGAGTGTTTGGAACGCAGGAGCTGCTGCGGTTGTTCGGCGTGCCGTTCCTGGTGGCTCCCATGGAGGCCGAGGCTCAGTGTGCGGCGTTGGACCGCGCCGACCAGACAAACGGGACCATCACAGACGACTCTGACGTGTGGCTGTTTGGAGGACGACACGTTTACAGGAACTTCTTCAGCCAGAACAAATATGTTGAGCACTACCAGTACAGCGACCTGCAGAGCCAGTTAGGTCAGTGGCTGCTGACCTAACTGGGCTGTGTTTTGGCCTAAAGTGAAAGAATAGTGGAATAGCAGAGATTAAATTGACGAGCTAATGAACACATTGGAGAATGTAACTATTTTTTGGGTAAAGATAGATAATCCATCAGTGTTCCTTCTCCTGATGAAGTGCGATGGCGCCTGTCTTTGCCAGGTCTGGACAGAACAAAGATGATCAATCTGGCTTATCTGCTTGGAAGTGACTACACAGAGGGTGTTGCAGGAGTGGGATATGTTACTGGCATGGAGATACTGAACGAGTTTCCAGGGCCGGGACTGGAGCCACTAATACAGCTTAGGTTTGTTTTTCTTTTTAATTTTTTTAGCCCTAACAAAGTGCAGGAACACATTTATACTAAAGAGCAATTACATTCTCCATTTTTGTCCCTGTAGTAATTGGTGGTGTGAGGCTCAGGAGAAGAAGCGTCTGACCGATAATCCCAGAGATACGAAGGTGAAGAAGAAGCTGAGGGAACTAAAACTTCAGCCTGGCTTCCCCAACCCTGCGGTGGCTCAGGCTTACCTCCAGCCTGCCGTCGATCAGTCCCAGGCCTCCTTCAGCTGGGGCCGCCCGCAACTCGACATGATCAAAGAATATCCTTTTGTTTCTGCAGCCATTTTACAGTAAAGTTACAATAGAAAACATTTTAATAAGCTAATGCCTTGCAAAGTGTTGTTTTTTTTGTTATTGCATATTTATGTAGCAAATCTCATTTAAGTTCCTTATGATCTTAATTGCTTATTTAATTACTTCCTTTTTTGTTTATTTATTAATGTTTTAAGTAATCAATGTTGTATGATCCATAGTTGTTAATATGACCTTAAAACTAAACTACAACTACTACTTCTCCTTGCATTTCTGTTTTCTTCGTGATCATTTCTTTGACCTCTTCGTCACGTTCTGTCTGAGTCGTTTTGGCTGGAGCAGCAGAAAGACGGAGGAGACTCTCCAACCTGTGATCAAACAGCTCAACAACCAGCAGGTAACTGAGAGACTTTACCCACCTTGACTTGGTTACCACCTTGTTTGATTGCTTCATCACCAGTGATGTAGCTGTTTCTGCTGATATGACGTTAGACCAACACTACTTTCTGAAACTATAAGAAGGGTTTATATAACTAATGATTAAATTGTGTTTAAAGTTTGAACAAAGTTTACAACTCCCTCACTGATCCTGCAGAACAGGATCAGTGAGGGAGTTGTTAGCTAACGTTTTGTTAATAAGAAGCTAAGAATCAACACTTTAAGTAGCAGATTGTCCTATTAGCCGTCTGCACGGGGCTAAAGGTAATTCCAGTGGTTGGAAGGTTAAACAGCTGGGAGGGAATTAAAAAGGGCCAGAAGCTTAAAGGGCTAGAAATGACAAATTTACTGTGATGATAAATAACAAATTTTTTAAAAGTAATAAATAATCTAAAATAAGTATTTAACTTTGACATCTTTAGTTTTTGAAATGTATTTGTGCATAATCCATATTTTTCCTGCAACATTTTGTGGAATAATTATTCCCATTCAGTTCTCAACTATTTTAAAATCAATAAAATTACTGTTTTCCATTAGGTAACAATAGGTTCTCATGTATTGTAAATTTACTGTAAATGTGCATATGTGGCATGGGAATAAAAACCTATTTGCACAGAAGTTAGGAATCAACCTTGATGCAATTTTTTGGTTCTCTTGGACTCTGACAAAGAACCCTAATAGAAAAATAATATTCTAAAAATAAATAAACACGAACCAGACTTGCTTTTGACCAACAAAACTAACATTTTAATTTTTAAATATATCTTATATATTGTAAGGGATGAAGTTAAGGAATGTATAAAATAAAAAAAAAAATCTTGCGTTTTTCTGTTTCTCTTTTTCACTGTAGACTCAGCTCCGAATAGACTCATTCTTCCGCTTGGAGCAGCAGGAAAAGCAGGCGATCCGAAGCCAGCGACTCCGCCGAGCCGTCACCTGCATGAAGAGAAAGGAGAGGGAAGGAGGGGAAGGCGAAAGCAGTGAAGAAGAACTTCCTTCTCCATCCAAATCCAGGAAAGGAAATCTAAAAAACACAGAAGGACAGAAAGAAGAGGAGTCCCCCGTGACAGGTGGAGGTTTCTTAGCTCCAAAGTCAAATTCTGAATCTCCTTTTACGTCCCTCAGGGATTTCTGTAGTCCAGGTCAGGAATCCTTCACAGCAACAGCTGCTGACCAGTCTACTAAAAAACTACCTCAGAAGGCCAGCAGGAAGAGCAGCAGCAGCAGCTCCGGTGAGGATAGCGACGAAGGTAGGGTCGTTGCTATGGTTACAGCCCGATCTGTGTTTGAGGCCAACAGACGAGGCCGAGGAGGAAAACGCACAAGAGGAAGAGGAAAGAAGCTTTAAGACGCTCAACTTTTGCATAAATGTTCTCAAACTTGTGGTACTAAATGTGAAACCAGCTGAAAATTTCTGAAAATAAATGAACTGAGAGTTTTCTGTGATATGCATCATGTTTGTTTTTTTATCAACACTGAAGCTACTGGGAATATTGCGAAAATTTTTTTTACTACTTTGGAGATGTGAGAGGAATGTTGATCTGCATTAAAAAATTTTTTTTTCCCTAAGTATGTGTCAGATGTCATTTCTTTTTCTGCTATATCAACGCTAACAAAAGTTCAAGTCTAATGTATTGTACTCATTTAACCTCATTATCCATACACATTTACAGTCAGACACATCTCTTTATGTAAAACAAAATGCTTGTACAAACAGAAACAGGTTTTTAAATAAAGAATAAATAACCACAAGCTCCATCCCTGATGTAAAAATTAAGGAGATTATTTAGTTTTTTTTAAATATTTAATTCAGTCCCTTATAATCAAAACATGCCGCCACCCATCTTTCCTGTCCAACAACAGCGCAGCAGCAGCTGCTGCTGTCAGTCAGCTTTCTGCTTCAGACAGGCCTTTAAGCTTGACCGGAGGGAACTTGAAATATGGGCAGGATCTGAGGCTCCGCATGGGATTGTTGGACGAGGACGTTTTAAACACTGCGATTGTGTGTAACCTAAAACCACAGAGGGTTAGAAATAACAGCTCCTTCGAGATCAGCCTCCACGGTGACCCACATCTGAAAAGGCTTTACCTTTGACCACAGGACACATACTGTGGTTGGCTCGTGCACGGTAACATGTCCTGTTTAGGGTCTGCTTGTCCTCCTTCAGTCATAGACGCTCGGCAGCCCAAAGCCATGGAGGACTCCAGCACCAAACAAGGCGGTAAGAATTTGGACTTGTGCTCAGAACCATTTATTTATTTACTCTCTGTCCAGTCCCTCTCCATATGCTTTAAATGAACTATATGCGTCTTTTTTTCTGGAGAGGCAGTTGTGCTGAAGCTGGAATTTTCTGCAGTCATGTCTGCGTGAAGTGAAAACAGAAAGAGGGTTTGAAACCGTGCAAGCACTCCACAAGCTTGGCATTGTCACAGTGGGCTTTCCTGACCTTTTATCTATACCAGCATTGCGTAACGCAAAGTTGTGGGTTGGATGCTCGCATGTCAACGCTCTCATGCAGCCAACGCAGCTCAGAGGAGAGCTGACAAGCCTCTGTGTGATTCACAGAGCAAAGAGTCAAACGTTCTAGAAAAAAAAGTCGAGAAAAAACACATCACTGTGGTTTTCCTTTTAGTTTGTGGTACTTTTGCACCTCTTTTACCTGACATACATCTCTTGAAATGTTGAAATGTCTACTCCTCTCTTTCTTGTTCGTTTTTGGCATCGTGGCATCGTGGTTTGACTATTATAATTGATACTTTTCTTTACAGATACCAAAGAGGACGTCACTGAGGATGCAGAGCTGGCCAAAGCCATCATGTCTCGGCAATTCCACCCATCGGCCATCGGTCCTGAGACGTGGGAGGGATACATCTTCTCTGATCAGGAGATACGGATCAAAGAGTCCACAGACCTCTACGGAGCCGTACTCTGGCCCTCGGTGCGATCTTACCCTCAGTACGGACAAGAAACAAAATATTTAGATAATCTAAAAGAATGGTTCACATATTAGACTATAAAATGAAACAGCCTTAATGTCAGAATGTCAGGAGTGCTGCAAATTAAATCTGAGATGCAAGAGAAGGCCAAAACATAGTGAAGCCAAAGGTATAACTAGCTGTAATGAGATAGAACAGAGGGTTGGGTTGCTGGGCCCGCTGGTGTAGAAAAGAAACCAATTTATTACTCACCCAAAAAAAAAAGACTTTTTTTTGTAAAATAAAGGATTTCAACACAAATGGGTATTCTGAAGAAAATGTCCTCTGGTCTCCAAATAACTGCATTTTAGACTAATGTGTCCAAAATATATATATTTAAAAAATCCAGGACTTCATTTTTGTTTTATCTATAAAACTTTATCTTGCTTTAATATTTTTCTTAAAGAGAAAAAGTTTTGTACTTCCCAACCTTCCATAGACGTTAAAAAGTTACAGTCATAATGTCTCTGAAACAGTGACAAGAGCAGTCTTTCTGTTCAATCTGACCATGTTTTCTCACTTCCACAGTCAGGATCACACCGAATGTCACCAAACTAAATGTTTGAAGTTTAAACACACAGACTTACTCTTGCTGATGACCCCTCCCATTAACCAGAAGTGTATTCTCCTCCAACAGGCCATGGTGCTGTGCCATTTCCTGGAGACCAACCAAGACAAATACAACCTGGCCCATAAGAATGTGATTGAACTGGGAGCCGGAACTGGGCTTGTCACCATTGTTTCCAGTCTGTTAGGTACTCCAGTAAAACAATCTGGTGATTTGCATGGATGTGATCATGCTTTCAGTTTACCTTGTAATTACTTTTCTCTGACACTTTTCGCTGTCTCTCAGGTGCCAAAGTAACATCCACAGACCTGCCAGATGTGCTGGGGAACCTCCAGTACAATGTGACCCGCAACACCAAGGGCAGATGCAAATACATCCCTCTGGTGCGTTTTGTTCTTGACCCACTTATAACACAGTTATATTACCCAGTGCAAGTCTAATTCACAACTTGAGAAAATAGAAACAAATATAAAATGAAACTCAAAGTCTATATTGGAATCTATTTTAGTGCAAATAAAATGAAATTTTAAAGCATCGCAAAAAAGAAAAGAAAAAAAAAACATTTTTGGCTATCATTTGTTTAATAGGTTTGATGACTCTCTCCAGGTCATGGAGCTCATCTGGGGTCAGAACGTGGCTGAGCGTTTCCCTCGTGCTACGCATCGTTTTGACTACATCCTGGCAGCTGATGTGGTGTACGCGCACCCTTACCTGAATGAGCTCATGGAGACGTTCGACTACCTCTGTCAGGATGGCACTCAGATACTGTGGGCCATGCGTTTCCGGCTGGACCCGGAGAACAGCTTTGTGGACCGCTTTCAGCAGCGATTCCACCTCGAGGAGCTGTACAACCTGCCCAGTCTGAGTATAAAACTGTACCGAGCCTGGAGGAAGGACAGCAAGGACCAAACAGAGGCTGCATGAAATCAAGAACACACAGGACACTGAGTACTTACTATGAATCTGGGTCTCAAAAATCATAGTGAATGGCATCAGCAGCAATTGTTTGTGTGTTTGCAGGCTTGCAAAAAAAAAAAAAGATGGACGTCTAACTGTTTACAATGCTCTCAGCACAGGTGAAGCTACTTTATTTCATTTGAAAATCAAAGGGTAAAATATGTAAATAAATAGTTTCTCAAATACATTCTACAACTTTGTATGTTTTTGTGTGTAATGTCCAAAAACATCACTGTTAGGCTATGTCTGAGGTTCATTATCCCTACGTGCGTGCGTGTGTGCGTGCGTGAGTGTGTGTGTGTGTGTGTGTGTACAGTTGTTTGTTCTGTGTTGGACTGGTGGCATGTCCAGATCGCAGTCTTGGCCCATGACTGCTAAAGACCCTTCAAGGACAAGCAGATATAGACAATGACATGTTAAAACACAACTTTAACAAACAAATGAGTCATTTTGAGATCAAGTCTTATTCCTGAAGCTATTTTTGAGTTTTTTCTATTAGATGACTAAACTGTTAAAGGTCATAGTTTAGCAGCTCATCACTTTTAGGAGGTCAAATTAAATATCACACCCATATTACCCCTTTATTTGGCTCTCTGTATGCCACTTCAGTAACCTGAACACCAACGCTCTGCCCAATTTCTTCCATATTTTGGAAACTCACCAGTTAGTTTATCAAATTGGAAAGAGTAAGTTTGAGTCAGCCTCTATAATTGTAAGCGGTTAAATCTGATACGTTGATGATTCCAAATCCTCCAAGGTTTTCCGGGTCGCTTTCTGTCCTGGCGTTCCTGGTGGTTCTGGTGGATGTGTGTCTCTGGAGCGAGAGGAGTGTTGAAGAGCTGGATTAAAGGGATGCAGGGTATCTAAGCTGCTGGTGGGCAGTAAATACCTCCGCCTTTGTCAAGACAAATAAATACCCAACAGCTGAAGCCTGTTTGTGGCCTTATAGGAATATCTGTTCACTTAATTTCTCTTTTCACAGCCTGTCAATACTAAAAATCCTCTCACAGAGACACAACGCTGGAATTCTGCTTTGTCACCGGGCTAAATCCAGCATTTAAAATAAGATTTAGATTATTATTCATGACGGGTATGTCTGATGCTGTCGACATTAGAGCCGCCTTATTTTCTCCAGAGCTTGATATGTGCAGGAAGCAGTCCAGCCTGATCCTGTTACCCTCTATCTCTGCTGAAGCAATTGAGGCCATTGCAGGAAAAGCAAGAGGCATGAAGGCATCCTAGACTACGTGACTAATTTTAAATAGACTATTTGTTTGAACCATTGACCCAGCCCTGTGTTTGGGCGTCTTTGCAAAAATAACTGTTTACTGACAGAGATTAGAGTTACTCTACACCTTTTTTTTTTCCGATATGGGCAATGTTTCTTGCTTAAAAAAATAAAAAAAAAAACATAAAAAATGAATTGCTTTTTCTGTCACAAGTAACAGTTTTAAATTACGCTTTGAAGATGTCGATTTTCCATGAAGGACGAGTTCATGTGATCGTCATCACGGCACAGTAATCCAAGTAACTTCTATCATGACATATTCTGTGTTTATCAGTCTCTGCTTCTGGGTGTCAAATGGAGTCAACAGGTCAGTAATAACACTCAGTCTCTCTGCCAAGATGCTGTCGTGTCAAACACAAATCATATCCTGGGTTGGTTTTCTGCACAGTGAAAACTTGTGCTATGTCTTTCTGTGTTTTTCTATTGGATACAGTCAACCCATTAAAGCCGATGCGGCGCCATAATTTATTAAGGCTGTTCTGAACCTAAACAACCGTCATTATTTTTTTGTAGGTGTAGCATTCCTCCTCTTTATATCTGATTATTTTATGGGTTAGGGACCCCCACTGTCTGGTTCTCTGCAGATGGACCACCAGCAGACACGTAATGAAGCAAAGACTCGGCTTACTTGACCTGCCCTTCTTCCTCTTGGCTCCTCCTCCATCTCCTCTGTTTGTGCATTTGAAACTTTGTGCCCTCTGCTCCTCTACGAGGTTTATTCCTAATGAGCACAGCTCTAAAAATACCCTTCTGCCCTTGTAATGATGATGGGAGTGTCCTGTTGGATGCTGAGCCTCTATAACATCGCAGTCCATCGTATCCAGACACAGTTGAGGTGCTCTTTCATGGGAATTGAAGCGGAATTGGATCACAACTAACAGGTGAGACACCAGAATAAAACATTTCCTTATTTTTATCAGAGCGATGATAGAAATCCAGCTCAGTTGAAGAAAAAAGAAACTAATCTAACATTGTTTTAATCATTGGTATGTTTGCTCTCATAAGTACAAATTCAAATTAAATAAAAACTACCTTCTTTCTAACAACACAAAGGATTTTATATGGAAACTTTGAGTTCACCGCTTGCAGAAGAAACAAGCTTCGCCAGAACAGAGGAGGAAGATGAGGCTGAAGAAAATAAAGAGGAGGATAAAGGTAACTGTAACCAATGTGGTCTCTGTGTTTGACTCACTCCACAATACATCTGAAACTATCACTTTTATTTCTTTCTTTCAGATGATGCACAAACAGAGGAATCAGCTGTCGGGAAGCAACGACTGGCGGCCTGGGCTCCGTGTTTTTACTGCAGAATGTGCAAAGAGGTGTACAGCTTTGCTGGCCACGAGATCGTCATCGAAGAGGGTCTTGACTCACTTGCAGGCATGATATGGCCTGGGGTGAGTGTGCTGGTGCTGGTTCTGAGGTTTTACTTTTTATAAAACCCAACCTACTGTGGAGAAGTATGGGCGAGCCATGCTTCTCTTTAAAAACAACACTGAGAGTTAAAGGGATCTGACAGATTCAGATTTTTGATTTTGCCACTTGATGTTCATTGTAGGGTCAAGGTTATCCACTCTGCACCGTGGCGTTGCAAAATGTTCAGAAATGCTTTGATTGAAAAAGCCATGAGTAGCTCGCCAATTCTCTGCAACCCAGTGCAACACAGGAAGGGAAAAATCTACAATTTATACTTTCTTTCCTACTGTAATGTCATGTTTGGCTGTAACCTACTACCTATTAAACTCAAGTTATTTATGCTATATTGGACATTTGGGTAGTTGCTACATTATATGTTTTACTTTGCATTCATTCTTTGGATTTACACACTGACAGTGGCAATTATTGCTGTTTCTCCCAGGCTTTGGCTCTCTGTCACTACCTTGACACTCACCGTGACCGGCTGAATCTCGTGGACAAAGCCGTCCTGGAGATTGGAGCAGGAACCGGCCTTGTGTCTGTGGTAGCGGCACTTCTCGGTGCGAGTGAACGTGAACCTGTCTGCATCGACTGACAATGAACACGTGCGATTGCTTTAACGGGTCTGTTTTTTCAGGTGGTTGGGTCACAGCGACAGACCTTCCAGAGGTTCTGAGCAACACTAGAGCCAACCTGTGCAGAAACACCAAGGGTCTCTGCAGACACACACCCCAGGTGGCACCTCTGTCCTGGGGCTATGACCCGGAGAGCACCTACCCTTCGTCCGTCTACAGGTATGACTACGTCCTGGCAGCCGACGTGGTTTATCATCACGACTTCCTGGATGAGCTCTTGGTCACCATGAAACATTTCTGCAAACCAGGAACAACACTGATCTGGGCCAACAAGGTCCGATTTGAGTCCGATCTAGTGTTCACAGAGAACTTTAAGAAGGCCTTCCACACAAGTCTGCTGGTCGAAGAAGGAGAGATGAAGATCTTCATGGCAACGAGTAGGGAAGGAGATGGTGAAGTAGATCAGGGGCTGGAAATCCAAGATCTGTTGGGAGAAGAGGATGGAACGACTGTGGAGGAAGAAAGCAACAAAGACGACAGTGAAGACAAACCTTCCTGTGCCTGTAAAGAGGTGAGAGCTGATATACTGGACAGTTACAATGAGGAGGAGTGGGAAAAAGACAAAGAGTTTGAAAGTGATGAGGAGGAAGAGGAAATTGTGACCTCTAAAGACGATGAAACACATGAGCAAAGTGAGAATGTTGCAAGCAATGACAACACTTCTGGTGAGTTATCTTCACACACAAATAATTTAAGTACCAAAGGATGTGCCAGGACTGTTTGCATATTACAGATGTTCAACAAGCTCAAGTGTAACTTAAAAAAAAAAGAAAGTAATTCACAGGGATAATTTATTCCATACAAAACAGGTATGGATTTTGAGTTGTTAGGTCTTTGTTGTGTTTAAAATGCTGTTCTTATCTAATCAGATTGACGTGTTAGTTTGTCAGCAGACTATAAAATGAAACAAACAGCCTTAATGAGAATGTCAGGAGTGCTGCAAACTAAATCTGAGATGCAAGAGAAGGCCAAAACATAGTGAAGCCAAAGGTATAACTAGCTGTCCTGAGATAGCACCCAGGGTTGGGTTGCAGGGCCTGTTGGTGTAGAGTATCTCAGATCTCAAGGAAGAGAGGCAGACTGTTTTTTCCAATGGCATTGAGCTTATTTAGTCAAAAACAATGCCATATTATGCGGATTTATATATTGTAATTGCACATATCAAGATTTTAATTGTTTTTATAGTCTACGCTCAAGCCTTATGTTTTGTTTCATGCTTTCTGTCTGTTGGTCCCTGCAGAACAGGAGCGTTCGGACCAGACAGTTGCAAGGCAGAAATGGGTTCCAAACGTCATTTGCCGCATAAACAAAGACATCTACCATTATGTAGGGCAGGACATCGTCATTTACGAATCCATAGATTCATTTGGAGCAATGATGTGGCCAGCTGTGAGTGTTTCTGATAACAGTTTGCTACAGTACAAAAAAAAAAAATCATATAACCTTCTTTAGCTTAACGTCATATTAACAGTGTTTTCTTCAATTTGCAGGCGTTGGCTTTGTGCTCCTTCCTTGACAACAACAGGGACACAGTGGACCTGCGAGGGAAGGAGGTGCTGGAACTGGGAGCAGGAACAGGACTGGTAGCCATTGTGGCCAGTCTACTGGGTGAGCAGTCACTGGACTCATCATGGTGTTAAACATAAACATGACGCAATGAACAGGACAAAAAAAAATCTTTGATTGTAATTTTGTTTCACAATCTGCCTGTCCAATGAATAGACATTTTTGGTAGTGCGGTAGCAGTCCCAAATGGACACCCATACATCCCTCACAAAGGTGGCATTCTCCAGATTTTGATTGGGGATCCCAAGGCCAGAAGGGATATATATTCCCTCCGACATGTTCCGGGTCTGCTCTTGACAGATTGGGCAAAACTAAGCGAGGCACTGGGGAGGCATCTTGATCATGTGCCCACACCACCTCAGCTGACTCTTTTTGATGTGATGGAGTAGCCTCTCTACTTTGAGCTGCTCACCATCTCTAAGGATGAGTTCAGCCACCCTATGAGACGAGGGAAGTTCATTTCAGATTGTTGTTTGCAGATTATATTTTTTGTCTGTTAGTCATGATTCATCGCGTCTTTTTTTTTGACTGAGCAAAAAAGACCCGAGTTTCTGAAACAACACACTTAAGTCCCCACCACTACGCCTTGAAAATGAGTCCATGAACACCACAAAAAGATGAGGGGAAAGGTGTAGACCTCGCCTCCTGTACTGGAAACAAGACCAACCCTAGGCTGAGAACGCAGACACAGTTTTTGCTTTGGTTGTACGAAGACTGTATAACTCTTAAAGCATCCCTGATATTGGGAGACACAGTCAGCAACTTTGTGTTACGGGGTAACCTAAAATGACATTCCTTTCTTTCTGTATCAACAGGAGCTGCAGTCACAGCCACAGACCTTCCAGAGATATTAGGTAACCTTCAAGCCAACTTAATGAGGAACACCAGGGGTCTCTGCAGACACACACCCCAGGTGGCACCTCTGTCCTGGGGCTATGACCTGGAGAGCACCTACCCTTCGTCCGTCTACAGGTATGACTACGTCCTGGCAGCCGACGTGGTTTACCATCACGACTTCCTGGATGAGCTCTTGGTCACCATGAAGTATTTCTGCAAACCAGGAACAACACTGATCTGGGCCAACAAGGTCCGATTTGAGTCCGATCTAGTGTTCACAGAGAACTTTAAGAAAGCCTTCCACACAAGTCTGCTGGTCGAAGAAGGAGAGATGAAGATCTTCATGGCAATGAGTAGGGAAGAAGATGAAGGTGACAGGAACAGACTGAGTAGGCCTACAGACTGCAGGCTCAAAGCCTAAGGAGGTTTAAAAGGACTTAATGTTGAACCTTTTTGTGTGATTTATTTTTTTCAAATGCTGTCAGATGCCCACTAACTTTGTTAAAGGTTGGCAGACATGCAAGATCAGTTTACAAATGTTTTGCTCGAGACTCAGTGTGGAAGACATGTTTACATTTGTTGGCTTCAGGTACCTGAGAACTGTTTAAATGTCAGCTTAGTATCAAAATATTTATAATAGTGGTCTTGGCAAGCTTCACTTTGGCTGGTCTGACTTTAAGTCAAGAAAAATTAGGAAAAGGAATGAACCGTTTCTGGAGACTCACTCTCATAATAGACAACTTTATTTTTTTAATACTTCTGCTGTTTTGGTTCTGCCAAAGCATGGGATTTGTATATGCCACTGCAACAACTGGAGTCTATGCTTCTCTGCTGGTGCAAGATGTTTGTGATGATATGCTGCACTGGGTTTTTTACCAAACAATGTCTACTGTGGTCTCATCTGTCCAATGATTGTCCTTGTGGTTCAATCAGATGCCACTTTACAAACTTAACATGACCTGTTGTATTTTCTTTAAGACAGAAGTCATTCTACTGGAAACAATCGTTTTGAGTTCATCCTGAACTGAATTTGCTCGGATGCCTTAAGTGATTTCCACTTGTGGATTACAGAACTGATTGGAAATAGCCTTAAAATCTAGATTGATACGCATGAACAGATGCTTCTTTAAAGTCAATCTAGCTTCCATGTTGACATTGTGTTAACACACATCTGTATCCTCAGATCCTCAGGTCAGACTTGCCGAGTGTCATATAAACAGGAGAATATACTTCCCCTTTTCCTGTTAAATCTTATTAAAGATGCAGTGGTCTAGATCAGGGGTGTCCAAAGTCGGTCCTCGAGGGCCAGCATCCTGCATGTTTTAGTTTTCTCCCTGGTTTTACACACCTGAATCAAATGATGACTCATTAGAAGGCCTAAGCAGGACGATGACTTGCTGAGGAGATTGGTACTACCACTAGGGAGAGAACTAAAACATGCAGGATGCCGGCCCTCGAGGACAGACTTGACACCCCTGGTCTAGATGCAACAATGAAGCTCATTGTACTGGGGAAACCTATTGTCTATTTGGTGGTTCAGTGCCTTTTTGTCTAACAAACTACTTTTGATAGATCAAGCTATGTAGACAATGTGAATTCTTCTTTGTCTTTTGTATTTTTCAGCCTCGTAATACAGACAAGTGACATGTGAACCCGTTTTAAATATCTTTATTCAGTGAACTTTCTTGTTTGCGGCTTTTCTCGTGAGCACAAAATACTTTTAACAGTGGCTCAGGTCTTTCCCACATGATCCAGAAAGGATATAAAATGATATAGAGAATACAGCTTTAACTCATAACATTCTGTGATGAAGTAGATTTTTATGGCTATAAATATAAACACAACATCCATAGCAAGCATTCCTGAAGTTCCTATGGACACCAGCAGAGCAACTCCAACAGATATGTTTGGTGTCAGAGGTCAAAGGTGAAGTCTTGTGGTGAAAACTTAAGGCCGTTTTTGGAGAGACTGTAATTGGCAACGCATGACGTTTGTGCACAGCATATGTTCAAACAGGAAACACAATGAAGAGGGAAATTAATAAAGAGACCAACTCTCACATAGGATTCCTTCCAACAGCTCGAAGAGGTCGATGCTGCGAATAATGCAGAAAGTGAAACCGTTTCAAGCTAAACAGAAACGTAAGAATCTCCCCGCCGCTGATTCACCATCAGACTCCAGAAGACAAGAGGCCCTAAAGCAGATACTTTACATTCTTAGGCATCAACGTTCCAGCCAGAGTGCTAAAAAATAAAATAAAACAAAGATAAAACCAAAGCCTTTATTTATACTACTAGTTTAAAAAAAAAGAGAAATTATTTTTTCCATCTAATAAATATTTTTTTTCCTTTAACATATTGATATTGAATCCAGCTTAACAAGACAAGTTTTCTTTGGTTACACAAAGAAAAGAGAAAAGATAACACTTCTGCTTTTAGGACTATAAAGCAAACAGGATCATGAACATGAAAATTAAATTTAATCACATAGCCCTCATCTGTAACTTCAGGTGAGACATTTCCAAAAGGACCAAACCAGTATTAAGTTTAGACAAATCAAAAATATCTGCAGATTCTCGGTTTTTAAAATCATTTCTTATAACCTTTAAGGGTCAAAGAGTAAATATTTAATACATGTTAGGTTTTCAACATCTCTTTCAATATATGAAGGAAAGTGCAACAGTATTTTGAAGCTTTGAAGGCAATCGAATCAAATCCAAAATTCAAAGCATCAAAACTCTTAAGTCACAATTGTCAGAAATGAGTATTTCTAATGTTAAGTATATTATGTGAGACAATTATTCAAAATGAGCTGAAACTACTGGTGTGATCCTTTTGAACAGCTAGGGTCCCATTAAAAAGAATGCCGTCTCACTTAATACAGGTTCACACCTACACGCAAAGTTCCTCACAAACACACACACACCCATCAACTGTTGATGTTTCTCCAAAGCATAATTCACCAGGGGAGGGAAAAAAAAAAAGTCAAATTGAAAGAAACTAAAATCTGATTCTTCGTCCAAACTAACTTTTCATACACCCTAGAACACATGCATAAATGCAAAATACATCGATTAAGATAAATTCTGTTATATCCCTATTGCATCTTTATATTTTCATGGTACGAGTGTATTTACATTACTTTATGACACTGTGTACATGTGCAGCATACTGAAAGCTGCCGAGAAAGCGCAACAACACCGAGTGAAAATCTGATTGTGTAACCTGTTCCGAACAACCCACTGCTGCACAAAAAGTGCATCATTCTGAGTGAGGTCTGGTAAAAAAAAACAAAAAAAACATGGAGGCTAAATGTGGCGCTCAGGAAGAGTCAAGCCTGCACACGGCGCGGGGATGAATCATGCGGTTTGACTCAAAGAAGCCGATGAGTGAAACGACTGCGAGGGTGGACGGATGCTACAAACTCAGCAGCTTCCCCTGAACAAAACTCTGCCACCGTTAGTTTAGCTCCATCTTGAAAGGTAAGGTACGTTGAAGAAAGGCACCGCGACATTTTTNGAGTAGGGAAGAAGATGAAGGTGACAGGAACAGACTGAGTAGGCCTACAGACTGCAGGCTCAAAGCCTAAGGAGGTTTAAAAGGACTTAATGTTGAACCTTTTTGTGTGATTTATTTTTTTCAAATGCTGTCAGATGCCCACTAACTTTGTTAAAGGTTGGCAGACATGCAAGATCAGTTTACAAATGTTTTGCTCGAGACTCAGTGTGGAAGACATGTTTACATTTGTTGGCTTCAGGTACCTGAGAACTGTTTAAATGTCAGCTTAGTATCAAAATATTTATAATAGTGGTCTTGGCAAGCTTCACTTTGGCTGGTCTGACTTTAAGTCAAGAAAAATTAGGAAAAGGAATGAACCGTTTCTGGAGACTCACTCTCATAATAGACAACTTTATTTTTTTAATACTTCTGCTGTTTTGGTTCTGCCAAAGCATGGGATTTGTATATGCCACTGCAACAACTGGAGTCTATGCTTCTCTGCTGGTGCAAGATGTTTGTGATGATATGCTGCACTGGGTTTTTTACCAAACAATGTCTACTGTGGTCTCATCTGTCCAATGATTGTCCTTGTGGTTCAATCAGATGCCACTTTACAAACTTAACATGACCTGTTGTATTTTCTTTAAGACAGAAGTCATTCTACTGGAAACAATCGTTTTGAGTTCATCCTGAACTGAATTTGCTCGGATGCCTTAAGTGATTTCCACTTGTGGATTACAGAACTGATTGGAAATAGCCTTAAAATCTAGATTGATACGCATGAACAGATGCTTCTTTAAAGTCAATCTAGCTTCCATGTTGACATTGTGTTAACACACATCTGTATCCTCAGATCCTCAGGTCAGACTTGCCGAGTGTCATATAAACAGGAGAATATACTTCCCCTTTTCCTGTTAAATCTTATTAAAGATGCAGTGGTCTAGATCAGGGGTGTCCAAAGTCGGTCCTCGAGGGCCAGCATCCTGCATGTTTTAGTTTTCTCCCTGGTTTTACACACCTGAATCAAATGATGACTCATTAGAAGGCCTAAGCAGGACGATGACTTGCTGAGGAGATTGGTACTACCACTAGGGAGAGAACTAAAACATGCAGGATGCCGGCCCTCGAGGACAGACTTGACACCCCTGGTCTAGATGCAACAATGAAGCTCATTGTACTGGGGAAACCTATTGTCTATTTGGTGGTTCAGTGCCTTTTTGTCTAACAAACTACTTTTGATAGATCAAGCTATGTAGACAATGTGAATTCTTCTTTGTCTTTTGTATTTTTCAGCCTCGTAATACAGACAAGTGACATGTGAACCCGTTTTAAATATCTTTATTCAGTGAACTTTCTTGTTTGCGGCTTTTCTCGTGAGCACAAAATACTTTTAACAGTGGCTCAGGTCTTTCCCACATGATCCAGAAAGGATATAAAATGATATAGAGAATACAGCTTTAACTCATAACATTCTGTGATGAAGTAGATTTTTATGGCTATAAATATAAACACAACATCCATAGCAAGCATTCCTGAAGTTCCTATGGACACCAGCAGAGCAACTCCAACAGATATGTTTGGTGTCAGAGGTCAAAGGTGAAGTCTTGTGGTGAAAACTTAAGGCCGTTTTTGGAGAGACTGTAATTGGCAACGCATGACGTTTGTGCACAGCATATGTTCAAACAGGAAACACAATGAAGAGGGAAATTAATAAAGAGACCAACTCTCACATAGGATTCCTTCCAACAGCTCGAAGAGGTCGATGCTGCGAATAATGCAGAAAGTGAAACCGTTTCAAGCTAAACAGAAACGTAAGAATCTCCCCGCCGCTGATTCACCATCAGACTCCAGAAGACAAGAGGCCCTAAAGCAGATACTTTACATTCTTAGGCATCAACGTTCCAGCCAGAGTGCTAAAAAATAAAATAAAACAAAGATAAAACCAAAGCCTTTATTTATACTACTAGTTTAAAAAAAAAGAGAAATTATTTTTTCCATCTAATAAATATTTTTTTTCCTTTAACATATTGATATTGAATCCAGCTTAACAAGACAAGTTTTCTTTGGTTACACAAAGAAAAGAGAAAAGATAACACTTCTGCTTTTAGGACTATAAAGCAAACAGGATCATGAACATGAAAATTAAATTTAATCACATAGCCCTCATCTGTAACTTCAGGTGAGACATTTCCAAAAGGACCAAACCAGTATTAAGTTTAGACAAATCAAAAATATCTGCAGATTCTCGGTTTTTAAAATCATTTCTTATAACCTTTAAGGGTCAAAGAGTAAATATTTAATACATGTTAGGTTTTCAACATCTCTTTCAATATATGAAGGAAAGTGCAACAGTATTTTGAAGCTTTGAAGGCAATCGAATCAAATCCAAAATTCAAAGCATCAAAACTCTTAAGTCACAATTGTCAGAAATGAGTATTTCTAATGTTAAGTATATTATGTGAGACAATTATTCAAAATGAGCTGAAACTACTGGTGTGATCCTTTTGAACAGCTAGGGTCCCATTAAAAAGAATGCCGTCTCACTTAATACAGGTTCACACCTACACGCAAAGTTCCTCACAAACACACACACACCCATCAACTGTTGATGTTTCTCCAAAGCATAATTCACCAGGGGAGGGAAAAAAAAAAAGTCAAATTGAAAGAAACTAAAATCTGATTCTTCGTCCAAACTAACTTTTCATACACCCTAGAACACATGCATAAATGCAAAATACATCGATTAAGATAAATTCTGTTATATCCCTATTGCATCTTTATATTTTCATGGTACGAGTGTATTTACATTACTTTATGACACTGTGTACATGTGCAGCATACTGAAAGCTGCCGAGAAAGCGCAACAACACCGAGTGAAAATCTGATTGTGTAACCTGTTCCGAACAACCCACTGCTGCACAAAAAGTGCATCATTCTGAGTGAGGTCTGGTAAAAAAAAACAAAAAAAACATGGAGGCTAAATGTGGCGCTCAGGAAGAGTCAAGCCTGCACACGGCGCGGGGATGAATCATGCGGTTTGACTCAAAGAAGCCGATGAGTGAAACGACTGCGAGGGTGGACGGATGCTACAAACTCAGCAGCTTCCCCTGAACAAAACTCTGCCACCGTTAGTTTAGCTCCATCTTGAAAGGTAAGGTACGTTGAAGAAAGGCACCGCGACATTTTTTTTTGTGTTCAAAGACAGACAGGACTGACTTGTCAACCCAGGATGGCTGGAGCTATTTAAGAAAACAAAAACTAAAAAAAAAAAAAAAAAAAAAAAAAAAAAAAATTAAAAATGGGCTTGCGATCAGTCCAATCCCTGCTTTTCATTTGGGATCATCAGGAGGAGAGTTTCTGCGGCAGCAAGTCTGTCTCTCCTTTTACTGAAGTAATTTTAACAGATTTTTACAGTTTTCTGATCTGATTTCCGATGCATCCCTGGAGTCCACAATGCCGGTTTTTACAGTATTTACACATGGAGAGAATGCAATGAGTTAGGAACGCTGGGGAGGAAGGGATATTTAAGCTTCCGAATTTGTAGCTGACAAAGAAAAAGCAAAACACAGGACAGATTATAGTTCTCCATATTTTTCTGTTGGTGGGGATTCAAAATATCTGATTTGACTGGTTTTGCAACCCCGTCGCCTCACAAAATTTGGCATGCATGAAAATATTTATGCTCTGGGTCAGCTCCTAGTTTGACGTCTTAAAAAGAAAAAGTCTCAGGAGGCAGCTGGTTGGTCAGATGCATAGACCACATGAGGGACATGTCATCAAATTCGTCCCGTTGCGGACTGTTGGAGGTCATGCCGTCCCATGCATGTGCCCGTTTGTGCTTAGAACGGTGAATAATCTGCGGGGTACATGACGGGGAGCCAGTTCTCACTGAAGGCAGTGCAGTGCGTCCAGCCGAGGTGACGCATGAGCTGCAAAACAAAACCCAGGAGATTTCATTTTAATTGTTCTTACACCACCAGAAACCAACAGAAAACATGTTTCTTCATCATGTTGAGGGCCGATCATTGATGCTCTCATACCTGGACGCAGTTCTTCATGTTCTCCTTGCTGGGCTTCTCCTCAACCATCTTGGAGGCATATTTTAGGGCTCGGCCGTACATCTTGTTTGCCAAGGCGTGTTTGTATGAAAATGTCAAAACCTTAAAAAGTGAACAGAGAAAAAAAAAAAAAAAACACGACAAAGGGTGTTAGGTAAAATGTTTCCTGAACTAGCTTAAAGCTTCAATTCAGCCAACAAAATAATTTTGGATCAACTTTCAGAATTTGTGGCTTTTTTTTAAATTTTTTTTTTCCCCCCCAAGTGACAAGTTCATCAAAAAAGGGAAAATTAGTAGGGAGAGGCATGAGTTATTTTTGAAAGTACCTACATACCCATCAACATCTTTCTGTTGACATGCCTATCAAAGCACAAATCAGTGACGAGGCTAAACTCTCCTAAAATGACACATAACTGTCAGTAAGGCCT